AAGCTGTACTTGTTTCCAACCTCAATCTCTTCTCCATCCATCATGGTGCTTCCAATTGGCCCAGCTTAAATCCATATTGAAGACTACAGTCCTTGACCTTCCTTGCTGTGTTTTGAAGACTATTTCCTGGTCCAAGTACAGGTTTTGCATAAGCACAATCAAGTGTTCTGGGATTCCCATTCTCCTCAAGGTTAACCACAACTTCTTGTGATATACACAGTTGAATGCTTCTTTGAAAAGTCAATGAAAATCAGATAGATATCCCTCTGATACTCTTTGCTGTCTGCCAAGATCTATCCAGAATGTTTCTAGTGCCACGAATTCTTTTAAACCCAGCTTGTATTTGTGGAAGCTCTCTGTCAATGTACTATTCCAGTCATTTCTGGATAATCTTCTACAGGCTTTTGCTTGCATGTGATATGAGTGATGTTGTATGAAAATTCCCACGCTCTATTGGGTCTCCTTTTATTGGAATGGGTATAAATATGATTTTTTTTTCAGCCTGTTGACCAGGTATTTATCCTCCAGATTTCTTGACACAGTCGGTGAGCACATCATGGGCAGCCTCTGTTTACTGAAATATGTCAATTGGTATTCCTTCAATTCCTTGGAATTTATTTTTGCCAACTCCTTCAGAGCAGCCTGAACTTCCTCCTTCATCAGTGTTGCCTCTTAGTCATATGTTGTTTCTTGCAATTCTTCTGTCTCAGCCGATTCTTTTTGGTACAGTGCTTCTATATACCCCTTCCATCTTCTTTTAATGCGTCATGAATCATTCACTATTCTGCCTATAGCATCCTTAACCATTGCAACTCACAGCTCAAATTTGATCTTTAGTTCCTTCAGCTTAAGAAATGCCCAGTGAGTGTAGCCCTTTTGATTTTCAGACTCCAGCTCCTTTCATATTTCATTATAATACTTTGCCTTGTCTTCTCGAGTTGCCCTTTGAAACCTTCTATTCAGCTCCTTGACTTGCTGATTTCTCCCCTTTGCCTTCGTAGTACTCTAATGCAATATACAGAGTGTCTTTTGACATCCATTTTTGTCTTTTCTTCTTCTTTGTAATGACCTTTTGCATTCTTCATGGATGATATTCTTGGTATCTTCCCACAGCTCATCTGATCTTCATTATTGTTCAAGGCCTCAAACTTGTTCCTGAGTTGGATTTAAATTCAAGTGGATAGACTCAAGATAAAATTTTTGTTCCCGTGAATATGATTTAACCTTCTTAAGCTGTAATTTGAATTTGCATATTAGTAGTTGATGGTCTTTTCTACAATTAGCACCTGGCTTGGTTTTCAATGCTGATATTGAACTTCTCCAATGATTCCTTCCACAGATGTAATCGATCTGATTTCTGAGCATGCTGTCAGGTGAAATCATGTGTATAGCCTGCATTTATGTTTTTTTTTATAAAAGGTATTTGCAATAAATAAGTGATTGATTGTGCAGAATTCTATCATTATATCCCCAGCCTCATTTCTGTCACTAAGTCCATATTTTCCAATTACTGATCCTTTTTCCTAGTTCCCAATTTTCACAATTCAGTCATCCGTTATTATTAATGCATTTTGGTTACATATTCTATCAATTTCTGACTGCAACAGTTGGTAGAAATCATCTATTTCCTCCTCTTTGGCTCTGGTTGTTGGTGCATAAATTTACGGAGTTCAGATCTGTTGTTTATTGCATCACTATGAGTCATATTTGACTCGATGGTACAACACAACAACAACATATATATTTGTCTTGGAGAGAATGAAACCAAGTTTCTTCTTGGAGACAAGGATTTTGAAGCTTTGTCTCACATACTTTGGGCATATCGCGTGGGAGGACCAGTCAGTCCTTGGAGAAGGGCATCATGCTTGAAAAGATGGAGGGTCAGTGCAAGAGAGGAAAACCCTAGAGGAGATAGATTAACGCAATGACTGTGGCAAGGGGGGTTAGTGTGTCAGAGATGGTGAGGTTGGCTCAGGATGGGGCAAGTTCAGAGCCGTTGTTCATAGGGTCACTATGAGATGAATTGAGGACACATAACAACAAGACCACTGCGTGTGTGTGTGTGCACGCATGCACGTACACACGTACACACACACACAGACATATATCCATCGAGTTAAATATGAGTCACAGTGACCCTATGAACAACAGATCTGAACTCTGTTTTATTTTGAGTCAACCTCTTCATCTCTGACATACTTGAACCCATTGCTGCAGTCACTGTGTTAATTCATCTCATTGAAGGTATATCTGTATGTGTGTATGTACACGTGCGCAAGCACACACACACACACACACACACACACACACACACACACACACAGAGTTCTTGTTGAGGACCATCAAATTGGAACCATTAAGTTGAGTACCATAAAGTTGGAATTCTTTATTTATGGGGGCGGGGAGAGAGAGAGAGATTGTTGTGTACCATAGAGTAGGAGCTGACCCATAGCTGACCCTCCACTGGGTTTTCAGAGGCATGGGAGGAGATTGCTCATACTTCTCTCAAGTATTTTATTTATATATATAGGTTCGCTGGTAAGAAACTGTGCTGCCAACCTAAAGGCACATGGTTCGAAATCACCCGCTGTTCTAAGGGGAAAAAAATAGACCAGACCCTCCTGTGCACTCTCCTGGCTCTGAAAATCTACTGTAGGATCCAATAAGAGTTGGTTCTGGCTCAGTGATACATAACAACAACAAATACACACACACAGACACACACACACACACACTGCATATGCACATACATATGGTCATTTACTAACAGGACAATTCTTTTCATTTTTTTGCATCAGTTTTTTTAATATATTTTAATGAGTATTTAGAGAGACTTAGGGTTTCCAGTCATACATTGTTGTACTTTTCTCCCTGACCACCCCCTTCCCCCTATTCACTTTTCTCCTTGATAAGTAAAAGAAAAAGTTTTTCATTGCTATACAACAACAGGAAAATTCTTAAATTTAATAATTAGCATCTCAGTGACAATTCACTTAAAGTAATTGAAAGAAACAAACAGAAAACAAAGATGTCTTACATTCTAATTTACTCTATAAACTTTTACAATGTCATTTAGAACAATGGTGTTTATTTGAAGCCAGATCTTCTGTTTGGAATTTTTCAGGTAGCCTGCTGTAGCCGAGAATAAGGACTCATGCCTTTACTTGTAACTGAATGGAAACTGGTTTTATCCCTCCCCAGAGATGGCAAACCCTGAGATAGTGACAAGTAGCTGCAACACGTATAATGAGGAAAATCGCTGCAGTTTTAACCAGCACACGTCTGTCTCTGAGGAACTTCTATTAGAAGACCAGATGAGACGAAAGCTCAAATTTTTTTTCATGAATCCTTGTGAGAAGTTCTGGGCTCGAGGTAGAAAACCATGGAAACTTGCTATACAAATTCTGAAAATTGTAATGGTGACTATTCAGGTAAGTATAACTGTTGGCAAAACTTCTTTTAATAACAAAGTAAGCAGTGTGTAGACAGTAATGTCCCCCTAGTTTTTATTCAATCATTGATAAGCATTTTGTTTCAGAATACTAACAACTGATAATGACCTTACAATGTCTAATCAAATTCTCAGTGTACCCTCCCCTTCTCATCATTCTACCCATCTGTCCATTCCATAATTCCTGCTCCTGTCTCCTTCCCCTCATATCCTTGTCGACCCACCATTGTTGTTTCTAGCTGCACAATGTTTTTTATAACTGTATTTTAACAGTAATTTTTAACTTTATGCATATGAAAGCATCTTAAGTCCTTCCCTCTATCAATCGTAAAAGGAGACTTTGTGTTGTGTACGTGTGTATATTTTTTCTTTTCATCTTTCACTAAGATACAATTTTGAACATATAATTGAGCGAATCTAATTAATTTTCAGGGAAATGGAATTTTAATATTTTGTGCCAGTCAAGAGTTGGGGTTTTCCAAGTCAGCCATGGGAATTAGCCCTCAGCTATATACAGAGGACTTTCTTTTTTTTTTCTCTTAGTTTGATTCCTGGGAATCTTTCTTTAGAGAGGTCAGGGGTTACTCTTATATACAAATGCTTAGATTCCCACAGCCCCATGATCCTGGGAGCTGTGACAGTAGAAGAAAGTGGCATTAACTGAGAAAAAACTTGGCAGTAATTAGTGAAATAGGAACTTTAGAGGGTAATTTTCAAAAGTAATTTTCCTGACTTCTCTTAATACATTTTTCTTAAAAAAATGTCATGCTTGGGAGGGTGGAGGGGCAGCACAGGAGAGGAAGACC